TGGGGAATTCTGGGAGTTGAAGTCCACTCATCTTAAAGTGGCCAAGTTTGGACAACACTGATTTACAGTGTGGGGGTCTCGGCCAACCCCCTCATTTTAGAATCAGCCCTTCAGGTCGTCTTCATCTGCTGTGGGTTCCTCAGTCAACCCCACCCTCTAGGAACCCCCTTTGGTGTATCTTACATGTATAGTGGATTTGTTCCTCAACCCTTCCTCTGGAAACACCCACCAGGTTTCTCACATTTAGTAGTGAGAGCTCCTGAGCCCACTTCACCCTCCAAGAACAACTCTGCAGAAACTCCATGTTTTGTGTTCCTCACCTATTCTCACACTCTGTGCTAGAGCCACAGCCATTCTGGACCCCTTTATGTTCTTGGAATCAGACCAGGTTGTCTCTTTACTGTCTCCTTCCTTACAACATGGAGCAGCTAAAACAATGTTTGCTGGCTGGAGGAATTCTGGGAATTGAAGTCCACACATCTTAAAGTTGCTGAGCTTGAGAAACTCTGATCTAAACTTTGGGACATCCTTGTCTAAAAGGGAAAGTCTCCCAAGATTTTATTGTCATATTCAAGCTCCAAAAGGATGTTCTCACCATCTGTGGCACCATTTCTTCATGCTTCATTCATCCTTCAGAGACCAGGTCGGGGAGAAGAGGTGCTGGGAAAAGTGGGAACCAAAAGTCCAACCTAGAAGGTGAAATACCGAATGTTCTTCCTGTTCTGTAGGCATCTCCTCCTTTTAAAACTTGGGGTGCAGCACCACACTTCTTGTATCTTGGCCCATCTCTTCCATTAATTTGCTACCCTACTTCTCCATATGTGGGATGACCTGGTCTTTTCCCCAGAATAAGGTGGATGTTGAAGTTCACATGGATCAACAGTTGTTTGCAATGAGCTCAGAATGAACTTGGCCACAAAATCTGAAAGGGTTTGGAAATAGGTCTAGTGTGACTGATTTTTACAGGTTCCCCAGGAACAGCCCAAAATTAGGAGCATAGTATAAACATTGTCATAGCAATAGTAATTGTCATAATAATAGTATAGAGATAACAATAGAGTAAAATATAGGAAGCACTCACATAATCACAACCCAACCATGCTGGCTGGGGAATTCTGGGAGTTGAAGTCCACTCATCTTAAAGTGGCCAAGTTTGGACAACACTGCCTTATAGGGAGAGAGAAAAGAAACCACCTGTCCAGGGTCCAGTGCTTTTGTGGCTCTGTTGAGTCTGGGTCAGTCCAATTGGGTACGGTTTAAACAAAGAACCCGTGACAAAGGGGTGCTACTAACTTTGAATTGAGTAGGTTAAGTCTTGGGTGAATGCCTCTCTGAACACAAACTCACATGCCCAAAGGGTCAAAACTCATTCAGTTTTGCCCATGAAGGAAGCACCACCTCCAAGTCTTTAACGGAGCTGATTAAACGTGCCCGCAGACGCGGGCCCTGGATCCTGAAGGAGCCACCCACGTCTTGGGCAAATCCGGGCATGCAGTTACTATTCCAACGGAAGACGGCAAGGTACTGAAAAGGGAGAACCGCCGTTAACTGGGTTTCTGCCAGGAGGTGGCAATGCAGAACAGGGTTTGAGGGTGCCTTTCTGCTTTCCAAGGCAAACCCAGCAAAAGCTGAGGAGTTCCCTGGCAAAGCCCAGGCAGAAGGGGAGGGTGATGCCACCCAGCCCTAACCCTGGCTTGAGCAGACACGGTGGCTGGGTTTGCAGAAAGTACGGTGCCCAAACCGAGATCCTGAATTGTGACTTAACAGGATGGCTTCATTCACAGCATGTGCTAAGGCAAGGGCTATACTAGGATCCCCCCATTAACTGTCTAGCCCCATCTTGCCTGTGATGCAAACCCCTCAAAGAACACCGAAGCACAGAGCTGGAAGGGTTAGAGGCCTCCTTGTCCGACCCCCTGCCCAGGGCAGGAATCCTCAGGCCATCCCAGACAAAGGGCTGTCTAACCTTTGTTTGAGGACCTCCGGTGATGAAGCCTCCATGACTCCAGGAAACAGGCTGTTCCACTGCTTCGTGGCTCTCATGGTCAGAACATTCCTCCTGATTTTGAGCTTGGATCTCTCCTTGTCAAGCTTCCACCCATTGGTTCTTCTCTTACTTTTGGGTGCTCTGGAGAATAACGCCCCACCCTCTGCCCTGGGGCAGCCCTTCAAGGCCTGGGAGACTCCTATCACATCTCCCCTTAGTCTTCTCTTCTATAGGCTAAACGGACCCGGTTCCTTTAACTTTGTAGGATTTAGCCTCCTCTCTGCCCAATTTTCCAGTTCCTCAGCATCCTTTTTCATCATGTGGCAACCACAACTGGACACAGTGTTCCAGGTACAGTCTGACCAGTCCAGCATAGAGCCAAACTCTACACTCCAGGTACAACCTGACCAGTCCCTTCCCATGTTCTTGACTTTCTACCTGTCTGAATGCAACTCAGGATTGTGTAGGCTCTTTGGGCAGCTGCAGCACACTGCTGGCTCTGTGGTCTACCAGCATCCCCAGATCTTTCTCACAAGGACTAATCCTGATCTAGATACTGTCTATCTCAGTGTTTCTCAACCTCGGCAAGTTTCAGATGTGTGGACTTCGACTCCCAGAATTC